ATAATAACAACAACAATAATAACAATAATAATAACAACAACAACAAGTGATAGGGATTATATACAACAGAATATATGCCAAACAGTAATGTCACATATGGTTATGATCTATCCAACATATCCATATCATACATATGTCTTTCACTCATAATGGATAAGTGCAATCATTTATATCACAGGTAATGACAGTTTGTTAACGTCACATCTATAGGGGAAGACAACACTAATATTTCAGACTTAAGATCAGTTCATTGTTGAAAAAGCTTTTGGGTCAGTTGTTGAGGTTGGGGTTAGGTTAAAGCAGTGGTTCCCAACCTTTTTCCTTAAAGGGGAACTTGGCAACTTTTTCAGCTTAATAAACCCGTTTAGAAATCATTTGGATGGTTAAATGCTGTTCCGGTGAAAATTGGTGGACCCCCCCAGGCGACCCCAGCGGAAAACCAACCTTGCAACTTTGGCACTACCATTCCCGGTAAATTGGAAATAGGACAGTATCGCGAGAAGCGCAGAACGGAGCGGAAGAAAACACGAACGCCTTACGGCAATTCCACATAAACGCACACGCCGCCCTCAATAACGGTTAGTGTATAATGTATTACCCACATCGCGTAAGGATATTGCTCCACACGAAAAAGTTGCCCGGCGAAAAAAGCACATCAGCAGCGGTAGAAAAGTGAAATGTGAAATTACACGGTTCCCAAGCCCTGTAGGGGACTCGTTGAGAAAAACATGGATGACAAAAGTGAAAACCAGTGAAGAAATGGCTAGAGCTTGCCAAGTTCCCCTTTAAACTGACAGAGTAACATATTTTATGAATATTTCATACTATATTCAATGCATAACAGTAACAATTGATAAACTGTACAATGAACCCAAACCGGGAACACAATAACTGCAGGAAGTGGGGGGGGGGGCATACTTGCTGTGGTGCAAAGGGGCACGTGAAGTGCTACTTGTACTCTCTTGGTCTGTGTCTGTGTCTTCAAAGCTTGATGTCTTCTTCAGCTTGCTTGTCTTTTTCTGTAGAGGAAAGAGTTATTGACAAGTGAGAGACCAAAGAATATTGTTGAGAGTTCTCTTCATGCATAACAGCTGCTTCCAGAGATGGTAAAATCCACTTTAAACATGTGAACGTATCCTGGATGCTTTTAAAAACCCGTATAATTTGACCTAAATTGTAATAATTTTGATAATGTTTGTCTTGGAATGCTAAAATTTTAATCTGTTTGTCATCTTCTGTAATAAATAAAGAGAACACACACAACCACCTTTGTACTTATCACAGCAAATGAAAGATTGGGAGACTGAGGGAAATACAGAAAACTGACTTTAAAAAGTGAAAGCAAAGCAGACAGAGGAGAAATAAAAAATAGCCAACCTTGCGTTTAGAGAAGCTGCCCATGAAGGAGCGGCCTGTACGCTTGTTGGTGCTGGGATTGGCCTCGTCCCCTGTGTCCGTCCCGTCCTCGCTTTTACCCTGCCAGCAGAGGAGACACTTAGCATGTTTTAACAGGAAACATTCTTAAGATTTGCAACTGAAACTGAGAAAATGTATCTTGTGTTTGTGCCACATTTCATTTTTTGACTGCACTGTTTGGAATAATTTCAACAATGACATTCTAACTAGCTGCTCGTAGAAAGAAATCAGTATAGAGAGTGGAGGAGAGCTCATTTGAATTGAGGTAAAGTTAACAACCACAAACTCCACTCTCCTTCCCAGTGGTGCCCTAGCTCACATTTATAGCATTTCACACCTCAAACACAAAACATACCCAATAACATTATAATTCATATAATCAAACTGTAAAACACAATTTGTATTTAAACTGAACCTCAAACAAAAAAGTAAAGCAAGTAAGAATATTTGAGTGAAATATTCTTTAACATGTTAAAGAATTTAGCTGCCTATTCTCTCTCCCTCTGTGCTGCTTGTCACAGTACTGTAAATCACAGTGCACTCTGCTGAATAACTTTGCAGCCGACACCAATATATTACCACAAGCAGCTTGTGACACTGCTATTACTGTGATAGAATCTGCGATACAAACAATCACTGGATTACATGATTTAAAGGCATGAGGAGTTATTTTTATAACCTTTAAGTGGATTTATGGACAAAGGAAAGGGTGTGTGTTAATTATTTGTTCTGAAATGTGTTTTTTAGCATGTTCGTCGCAGGGTAAGTGAATGTCTCTCCGTCTATTTTTACCTTGGAGCCAGTTTTGTCAGTGGGCTTCCCGGTAGGTGGCAGTGCTGCGATGGTGAAGCTGTCTGGGTCTTCTCTGTCTCGGATTTTGGACTCCTTCATCAGGTTGTCCAACTTTTTCTTGGCCATGTTCTCCACCTGCTTCCTGTTGGCTGAAGTCTGGAGCAGCAGGAGGAAAATTCAAGAGAGTGAGGATGATGATCTATGGTCATCTGTGATACAAGAGGTGAGAGAGGGGAACTTTGGACAGTTCCCGTCTGGTCAGAGTTGTTGCTCATTTTTCACATTTTCATGTCGTAAATGTGACATTCTGTGTGCTTGCTCCACAATTCATTTATATTAAATGGCATTTTATGAAACTGACTTATAATGCTAATAAAAATCACATGTTTGTACAATTTCAAATCAGTTATGTTGAACATTATATGAGCAGAGATGAGGGAGGAAGAAGGGCCTCTAGCTTCAGCTTTCTGGATCTCAGAACGTCTACATTTCTGTTCTCTTTGCACATACAGGACTGTTTGTAAGGTGATTTCTATATGTTTTTTCTCTATCTGCTTTGGGGTTTGGCCTGTTGGTTGAACAAAACAAGCAATATGAAGACATCTGGACACTGTGATGACTTGAAAAATATTAATGAACAGATTAATGGACAGATACTTACTATCTCAGTATAATAATGGGCCAAAAGTATTTACAGTAAGGAATGTAGGAAATGCAATCAAACTCTTGCAGAAGAAAGTAACTACTGTGCTTTGGTTATATCCAAATATGTTTAAAGCTGCAGTTTCTTTGGCTGATGGTTTGAAGATAGTTTATTGCTGACTCTCATTCCTAGCATTGGTATTTCACAACCTGGGAAGGAACTGCCACAAATAAACCTCTTTCTCAGCTCAGCTCTGATTGGTTGTTTTCATTCAAGCCCGGTGAATTCTTACAAATACCATTAGGAGCACTAGGAGGAGCCAGAGGAACCTGATTGTTTCAGAGATTATCTGTCTCATGTACTACTGTCAGGATATAGTGAAAGTTTCAGCAAATATTTTTATAAAAGTTACCTACTGCAGCTTTAAAAGGTCCAGTGTGTAACATTGTAGAAGGATCTATTGTCAGAAATGGAATAAAAGTCAGCCTGGCTGTAGATAGGGACTTTTGCATTTCTTGCGAGTTTCACGGTCATGCCAGTAAATCCTACACACTGGTCCTTTAAGTCAATTGCTGTTCAGTTCTTCCCTCAAAGTAAGTTGGGTTTTTGTCCGGTGTTTTGTCTACTGTAAAAGACACCTTGGAAAAACCTCTTACCCTGGTCTAACCAGATAAAGAAAGAAAGAAAACGAACATCATGCAGGACCCTGCCAAGTTTCATGAGGCTCAAAGGTGAAGCAATACATTCTGTTACATAATTCAGATCCTCCCAGACAATTTCAAAAATGGCTGCTTTAGTAATGCAACCCATTCCAGATATGAGAGTATGACTATAAATTATAGTATATAATGTATATGGTGTCCAAATAGTATGTTGTGTTTTTTGCCAAATAATGTTAAAGAGAATCAGATTATGTGTACTGGTCCCACCAGTTTATATAGGAAATATTCATTTTCTAAAAAGTATTTCCAATGAAAATAACAGGAACACTGTTTGTGAAGAGAACTGTACATATAGTGGACAAACCTGGACAAATAAAAAAATAAAAACTATTTGCATGGTGCATGCCACCATTCAATATAGGCGAGAAAATATGTTTTTATAATCTATGCAAAGCTTCATCTGAGCTCCCTCTGTAAAGAAACCTTGGATAATAACCCTTACCCTGGTCTGAGCAGAACACATCACACAGGATCCCACGAGAGCTCACATTCCATGAGCAAAGATGAAGCAATGCAATCATGTTAGATAATGCAGAACCTCCCACTGGTTGATGGATGGACCTTTAGTAATGTAAGTATTTCCACATGTGAGAGCATAACAAAGAATGGCAGTGGGAGATCCTTTATAAAGATGAAGTGGAATAAATGAATGATGCCACTGAGACATCACTGCTCAGTGCTCAAAATGATATGCACATGCTCAGTTCAGCCATATGGTGGCAGAGTGTATCCATAAACCACCTCAGTCTAACCAGACCACAGCAACATGCTCCACAGAGTCAGACTGAATATATAGGGCCAATAAGAAGCTTTTATGAATGAAGAATGTGGTCCAGTCAGTGTTGTCTGTCTGACATGATGGATGGGATGCAGGAGGACAACATATTTATTATAGAATGGATAAATATAACCTTTAACCTGAGCAAATACTAAGGCTTTAATTTGATCAGATTGCACACAATTTAATGTTTAATTCTCATTTTCTTATTTCAAATAAGACATTTTGGGCTCATATTAAATACTTAAGATGCTCGTTGCTTTGGTTTTGAATAAAAGTAGGACAATACCTGAAGAATCAGACCAATAAGCAGAATCGATAATGGCAATGGTCAATAAAATGTTATTAGGTAAAAGTCAAAGAGGCTGCTAAAGCTAACACCTGCCATCTAAACACTACCAGCTTATGTTTTTATAAAGTGAATATTGTTCATTTAATGCTTATGAATGACATTGTCTCCACTAGTTTTATTAGCTACAAGACACCTATTGTAGATAGGTAGATGTAGATGTTTGGTTCATAAAGGAAACTTACACACACATTTGATGGAACATCTCAAACATTCAACACTGCAAAGTGTGTTTGGGCCCACCACTTTGAACTTTCACAGGCAGGATGAGTAAGTTATGGCACATGACTGGGTGAAATTTCTGAAGTGTGGTTGAGAATGAGCTTTTTATACAGTACCTTCCACTTTGAAAGAAGCAAGCAACAGTTGAAGAGAAAAAGAAGGGACAAACAGGAAGAGAAAAGAGTAGTAGATGAGAACAAATAGCCACACAGAAAGAAAGAGAGCAAACCGCAGAGGTAGCAGTATAAGAGATCAACATGAGGAACAAAGGCAAGGCAGGAGAAGAGAACACTCACACTCTCCACAGTTGAACCACAAACCTTTAGGAACAGGAAATACATGCACAGTTCACATTTGGTCGGCTGGACACAAGGACACAAACCCTGCCTCTGGTAGAGGGGATAAACGTGGTGAAGTGGAAGAAAAGGCCAAACAGTACATACATCTCCGTTCATCAGCTTGCAGTCGTCCTCCATTTCATCAGCGCTGTCCTCGTCAGACACGTCTCCCTCCTCTGCATTCTCATCGATGTTGGGAGGCAGTTTCTTCCCCTGGTGGAGAGAAGAGCAAGTCATAAGAACAAACAGTTGCAACATTCATTTAAAATATATTTGTGGGCCATGAAAAATGACTTTACATGGGCCACTATGTACCCTTGTTACCCAGCCTATAATCCCCTTCTTTTTATGGTTTATTTGACATTATCTTTGGCTAACAATCCCTCCTGAGTGGCAAAGCCCTGTAGTGGATTTACTGGTTGATAAAGCAATGGGTGAATTTACAGTACCTGTTGTACTTTCTATTAAAAGGAGATATGAGGAGTGAGGGATGTATGGGTTCAGCCGTCGATGTTTTGGTAACAGATGGGGCCCACTCTCATTGCCTGAGCCAAAGATTTTTCATTAATATGTAGGGTAGTTTGTCCCGTGGTTAGCAATCATCTTCGATCACAGTGTCACGGAGCTGGAGGCCTGCAGCAGCACTGTGGCTGATACTGTCCCACACTGGTACCCACAGTGATCCACAGCACGAGTGTTACAGGACGGAGGGAAAGCCATGTCAGTGCTGCTCAGAGTGCTTACATACTGCCATTACCAACACTCTGCTGACTGTCCACACAGGTAATAGTGCTGGTATAACAGCTGGCAGAGCAGTCCTCGGCATGCCAGGTATTGGCAAGATGCCTCCTCTTTAGTGAAAGCATCTGGTGTCAATAAAGCCTCATTAACCTCAATACTGTTCTCTCCCCTGTTGACAGAGGGCTGCTGCTGCTTATCAGCTTGTTCCCCTGCTTCTATTGGTTAAAGCCATGTGTGAAACTAACTTTAATGGTTTGTATTACAAACTCTGCCATAGTGCCAACCTGAACAGATGGTTTACATCACAGTTGAGCTTTTCACAATGACCACATTAGACTTCTAGCAGAATTTAAAGGTGCATTTGGTTAAAGTAAATGTGATGATGGGCTGTTTATGACCACTACGAAACAACTGAAGTTGCAAGCTTTGGTTTTAGTAGAGGGGGGAACACAATGAAAGTCTTCTAGCTATGTATATAAAAAACTAAAAAAAAATATAGATTTTTTTAAATCAGGAAAAAAGTCCTGTCCAGCCTTTGACTGATTTTATTTGAATAATAACAAATGACACAGCATCAGGGCAGAGCTTCCTGTCAGGTTGCATGCAGACCCAACAAACTCCACCAGTGCAGCCTTTTCTGTGGCAGGAACTGACTGTGGAGACCAGCTGCTGGAATTAAATCTGGGCGCAGTTCAGCAGGTGATACCAAGCAGCATGAGGAACCCAAGGTTATGGTTTGTTATACCTGCCGTAGAAAGGGCTTATAGAGGCCTAAAAAGCAAAACCCAGGGCGACCTGAGCAATCGCCCGCTTCCTGTAAGCTTATGGTATCAACAGAGGGTGACACAGATGAGTGTAGCAGCATTTTTATCAACTCAGAGCTCCTCTCAGCTGTGAAGTGAAGCCGAATACCCAGAACTGCTCCTGACCCGCAGCCATCAACACATTAAACCAATTATCTGTGGTCAGCTGGACTCAGGATATTGTGTTTTTGACAATAACACAGACTAGCACTAGCAGGTAATGAGCCAGCCTGCATTCTGCAGTGACTTCACAAACAACTTAAGCTTTTTATTTCTTCCTACACTCACTTTTGTTTTTCATCCTCTTACAAACATGTTATATTCAAACAGTTTCTGATCACGTCACTTGATCAGCCCACAATCTCCTGCCTTTGAAGTCTGCTCTCTGTGATATTCAAACTCCAGATATTAAAACGGTGAGCTCAGATAATCGCCCAAGGACAGACTCCTCTCACCACTGAGAATCACTCACTTTTTAAACATCCAAACTCTGACTTTACCTTGACAAGGATCTTGCCCTTGAGTATTTCTGGCGACGGCAGCCGTCCAGACTCATCAGCTTTGATGTTGGACAGGTCCAGTTTGTCCCCCAGGATCTCGATCAGGTACTGAGCCATCTTCTTTTGCTGAGGAACGCTGCAGTGGTTCTCTATGGACAAGATGACTGGGTACCTGAGAGATGATCACACACAGCAGATTGGAGTTGGAGGGCTGAGAGGTCGGTATCTGTGCGTCCTTGCAGCAGAATTTAGGTATAAAAATCATTATTAAAGATTCTGACTTTTGTTGATTCAACCATGATACAGACAACATACACTGTACAGTATAAAATAAATCACATTCTTCAAGAAGATACCCAATTTACATTTCCTGGCTTTAATGATGAACTCTAACATTGACATTTTAAATTGAATTTTACAACATATATGTTGCTAATTTGAGATGAACCAGGTGAAAATCAGATCACCGTTGAACGCTGCACAATGCATGCCGGTCTGACTTTCTGTGACGCCATGCATACGTGTTTAACGATAACCTTACGAGATCGAGGGACCCGCAGTATTTAGAGCTAGCTGCTTTTGATAACAAACACCACATTTTGCTGATTTTCTGGGTGAATTTAATATTTATCTCTAGACTGTAGCTGTTTAATGCCCATATTGTGCAATGAAGGTTTAATCTGTTGATAATAATGAACTTTACTTATATATCAGAACGTGGACTGAAAACTACAGGCAGCTTAAAGATGATCCAACAGGATGCAAACATTTCTGTGACTTGTATATTTTCTTCTGCAGGCAAGGCGCATGTTAGCATGGTGATGTGCATTTAACTCAAGTATAGCCTCACAGAGACGCTAGCATGGCTGTAGACTCTTAGTCCTGTTAGGAGTTATTCTAACCAGTTAGGAGCTGCCTTTGGCTTTAGGGCGTTTTGTGAATATGGACCCTGGTGTTTAGCACATTAACACGTAAAACATCTCAATCTAGACGGTACATTTATTCATACATTATACTGCACCTTGGCTGCCAGAATACATATAAGCAGTACTGACATTTATACAGCAAGAAAAAACCTGTTCACTGTTAATTTTCGGCGCACCACTCTTTAAAGCTGTTTTATATTGTTTTACTGATTGATGTTCTTGTATTGTTTTATATTCCGTTATTTACGAGTTGTCTTTGAGTTTCAGAAAAGGCTTTAAAATGTATTATTATTATTATACTCGCAGATTTAAATGTTAGTATGGTTCAGTAATCCATCTTGTGGTTTCTAGAAGTCTCTGGTTTAGAGCCACTTAAAACTACACTGAATAAACAACTTGCACACTTATTTAGGTGTCCTGTCTTCTTGCAGAGGACCAGTCTAATATTGGTCATATGTTGGTTTTGGTATCTTGTAAAAAATGCTCTTTTATCTGTAGATGAAAATATAATAAATGTGCATGTCTGGATGAACATCAAATTTTAATCAGTATTTTTCATAGGGGTGAAAGAGCTGTGAAGTCTTAAAAAGGAGAACCTTTTAAGAGCTGGCTCCTCATTCACAACATATTGGCTGCAACGTTTTAAGTCAGATGGATGCTTCCGTCCCACTTTTGTCCCCGTCAGCCCTCTGCGGAGCCTGTTTTTATTCAGCGTCCTGGAAAATCTGATTGCTCTTTGATGTTGAATGCAGCCTTTCACCCTGCTCCTTTTTAGCCAATTATCTGTGGAATATGCCGTTCACAATTATGTTTTCAAAAACACACAGCGAGGGTGAATATGCACACAGAGCACATGTTTCTCCTTCATTTTACTTGAAGAGACAGGATCTAAAAATAGATTCTCTCTGCTTCCTCCAGACTGTGCATGTCGATGGGATTATCACCTTCTGATGCAGATTCTGTGAGGAGGAGGGTGTCTGTGTGTATGCTTTCATTTCTGTGTGTCTGTGTGTTCTCTCTCTGTATCTGCACAGGTGTGAGTAAGGTTTTCTGTTGGTCTGTAGGGATATTATCCATGTATGGTATGTAAATACAGATGATTACAAACTAAAAGAAAAAAATAAATGAGTCAGAAGAAAGAAACAAATGCAGCTTTCATACAGGACGCAAGGGCTCACTGAGTGGTTTGATGAGGATGTAAGGCCTTTACCAGATCTACCGATTTTGGAGCAGTGTGTTATGGGCCGTGGTAGACTGCTATTCATCACCTCCACCAAGGAGGTGTTTTTGGTGCCGTGTTTGTCACGATTATGGAAAAACTACTGGCCCTGATTTTCATTAAACTTGGTGGAAGGGTGTAGTATAGGTTTAGAAATAGCCTATTAAATGGTGGAGCACATACACAAATTATTTTAAAATTTGTTGGGTCAATTTTAATACAGACTTGACTATTGGTCTGCAACTACAGTGCCCTTGTAGTTGGGAATGGGAGCTGGTGTTGCAGCCGGTCACCGTCAGACACTTAAAAGGAGCCCAACAGCCCTACAGGCGGAAGTTGAGAAACTTTATATAAAAATGCAAATCACATCCAGGTGAGTGCATATTGTACTTCTTTTAAAGTCTGCTGCCTGTAACCTCCTTTGAGGAGCCACTGGCAGCTACAGCATGAGCTAGGGCTATGGTTTAATACTATGAGTTTGTAAGAAGTGACTGCTCGAAAACAACAATAATAGTGGCTGCTAAAGAGGTCAGCGTAGATGCTGCTAGCATCAGTTCTATAAGAACTGGACAGTATTTCTTCAGTGAAAAAATGGCAAGAACAGCACTGAAGGATTTTCTTAAAGAAAAAGATGTTTCACTCTTATCCTCACTGGCTTCAGTAAGAGTTTCACTACATTTTTGCCTGGCCCTTTCCAAACAGTTCCAAATGAAAACTTCACAGATGACACTGGTGCAGTCCGGTTACCGTACAAGAGGAGTGGGGATCTCATATATCTCTGTATCAGACATAAGACCAACATGGCGGTCTGTCTCGCCAGTTGGGTCGTGATTGTTGTATCACAGGTTTCACTGTGGAACAGGAAATTAACTACTTTAAACAACAAAAGACACACCTCCTGCTAATATAGTTCTACCCACTAGCTAACGATGAAGTGCAGTTTCATATGATGGGTGGGGTCAGTTAGTCACACTAAATCGCACTTCATTGGATACATTTATGCAACTGCTTGAGTTCAAGATGAGGCATAGCATGTGACAGGAGATAAATGAACAGTTAACACAATTAGGTTATTTGTTAAATGTATTTTCTATTTCACGGTGCCTTTAAGACTCCATATATTGCCATATGACCTATCTGCTTCTCTTCTCCATATCTCTGCTGTCTCTTAAAATAAGGGCAAAAGTGTAAAAATATTAATTAAAAAAGGGAAGCGTGAAGCATAAATATAAAAGACTAACTGTACACTAATGAGACAGGAAATCTCGCTGTGTAACAGTAACACTTTAACCTGTGAAATGTCAGTCCTTAAAAATGCATGCTGCACCTAAATATACCATAACATCAGCCCTGTCTCTGGTTATGTGCATTTATTCTATGATAAATATTATTTTTATCATCATCATAACCTCACATGCCATTACCTGAACATCAACATATCAACATATTAAGGAAAGGCCTTAGTGTATCGTGATATGCTGTGAAGGAGCTTTCCAACGTATTAAACCCATCCGACCCTGCAATTGTATTCCAAGCCTCATTTCCCCCCATTTTTCTCAATGGTCTTACAACCCAGCAGCCTATGTATTGCAACTCTAACGTGGAACGACAGCATACATGTCCATGTACTGCTAAGGTTATTTTCCACATGCTGTACACACACGCTTTATGGTTTGTTAGCTGCCTTCACTAGAAAGATGATGAAACATTAAAGTGGTCTGTTGGAGCGTTCTGACTGAATGTGTGAGCCAGTGGATATGTGTGTGTGTGTGTGTGTGTGTGTCCATCCATCAATGCAGGCTGACATTAATATNNTGTGTGTGTGTATGTGTGTATGAACTTACTCATTCTTGGCGAAGGCGTACTTGTTGATGGTCTCGATGACATCTTTGAAGAGGATCTTGGAGGTGAGCGTGTAGCCGTGATGAACAATGGGCTCGCCGTCCTGACCGTCCCAACAGTCCACTGTGGACCGTAGAGAAAAACAAGAGACAGTGTGAGCAGGACAGTCAGTCAGTGTATCAAAGCCTGATAATACACTGATCAGCCATAAC